GCTTTGTTGTTTTTCAGCCACGTTATTGCCATACGCACCTCGTCATAGTCAGGCGGTGGAACGTCGACTCCGTCATCATCGACTGCGGGCTCGGGTTCTTCTTCTCCACAACTTTCCGTGCTGCTATCATTTAGTAGGGCGGAAAAGTGTTTCTTCCATAATTTAAGTACGCTCTGGACATCAGTTACTAGGTCACCATTATTGTTCTTACAGGAGTGCGCCCCGGTCTTTAAACCTTCCGTAAGTCGCCTAACTCTCTGGTAAAATTTTCGGGCATTCCTCCTGTCGGCCAGCATTTCAAGCTCTTCGCACTCACGTATTTCTGCCTCTCTCTTCTTGTTGCGGCAAATACGTCTCGCTTCCCTCTTCAGATCCCTATNAAGTGTTTCTTCCATAATTTAAGTACGCTCTGGACATCAGTTACTAGGTCACCATTATTGTTCTTACAGGAGTACGCCCCGGTCTTTAAAGCTTCCGTAAGTCGCCTAGCTCTCGGGTGAAATTTTCGGGCATTCTTCCTGTCGGCCAGCATTTCAAGCTCTTCGCACTCACGTATTTCGGCCTCTCTCTTCTTATTTGATTAGTTCGCATTAAAATTGAGTTCTGATGCATAGTGCATAAGAGAGCAAAATAAAATCGCAGTTTTACTATATTTGGCCCCTAGTTTCGCATGCATATTTATTTTTTTTTGTGTAAAACTCTTTATTAAACAAAAACAATTTTTTATATTTCTTTTAGACAATGGACACTTGAGTGGTCTGCACAAAAGTGTTCTTAAAAACTCAAAATAATGAGATTTTTAAGAGGGACCGAAAACGCGTTCCTGCTTTGGTATAGTTCTGCATGAGCACAGAATCTAATTCTAGGAACGTTTCCACAAAAAAGCCCAATGGGAACAAAAGTATTGAGGATACTTCGAACGGGAACAAAATGTGCGGCAACGTTTCAGTGAAGAACGAAAAGAGAAAACAACTCTCGGGAATGATCTCAAGAAGAGCAGAATGAGAACGCAACTTTCGGGAACGTTTTCAGTGAGAACAAAATAAGAACGAATGTGTCGACTTAATTTGCATATTTATCTTTCAATCCTTTTTTGATTAATTTTAATATTTAAACATTTCAAACAAATGGAAAGGTTTAAGAAAATTGTTGTTCTCGCTTCCTTTCTTCGAAAATAGTTCAGGGAAGATTTGTTCCCGTTTCGTTTATTTCCCAAATTGTTCTTCGAGAGAAAGTTCCTTAGAGGTTTGATCCCGTTTAGTTCTTTGTCAAAACGTTCCGGCATTGCGCATTTTGCTTTCTTACAGCCAATTTCACGAAAGCGATTTAAGTAAAAAATTATTATACTTTTTGCTCGGTCCCTGATTTTTAATGTTATTTTTGATAATTTTAAAACCTTTCAGGACTGTAGTTAGTTGACACTTAGTTCGTGAATTTGCTGTCGCAGAAGACCGGCCACTGAAACCTGAAAGATCTTTTTTATACCTAAGAAGAGTCCCTAATCTTGAATGACCAAGCTGGTGTAAGCCTCGCTAATACATGCTAAACAAATTAATGAATCCTTAGATCGATTGTAGATGGATGAAAATGTACCAATCTTTGTCTGACCAAGGCCGGATAGTCTCACATAATGTGCTGTGGCGGGTTATTGTTCTCAAGACACTTTTATTAGATTATTGGGCGAATACAAAAACGTACGGCCGGTTAACTATCCAATGAGTAAGCTGATATTTGCTCTACTTAGGACACTAATCTCCATCATAGCGAAAGGGTAACCGACGAGCTCAAGAACCATGGTCCGCCTAAGAGCTTCGAAGAAGAGATGAGACCCCAAAATGGTTGTACCACAAAGACATTTGGGGATCATATGTGTGTGAGTGAGGCTAAAAACACTTGGCCAACATTCCTGAAAAATATTTCTTCTCTCTATGATGTACTAAAATTCAGCAAAATCGCCAAGAAGCTAGCACGAAGGGCATGTCGCGACAAATGTGATAATTTCCATGCCAAAAAAAGTCCTTTGAGCAGATGCATTTTTTTTTTTAATATAATTACTTTTATAATTTTATAGCTGGGTGGATGATAAATACCCACCCCGCTGCAAATTTTATAATTTCCTAAGAAAGATAATAATAATTGTTGTAATAATTCATTTGCAGGTATCTACTATACCATGGCGATAATTGGGCCCGCTGTTGGTTACGTGCTTGGTGGGCAGCTTTTACTGATTTACACTGAATTCATGACTGTGGATGCCGCAGAGTAAGTGAACAAAAACCACATGTTTGTATTTCAATGTATGGAAAATATGGGAAAATATTAAAATAAGTGTTTAAGAAAATAACGTTTAAAAATTGTGCGTTATTTACGTTTGTTTGTGTGGCCGCCACCGATAAGCGAAAAGCCGCGATGTGAAACTGCTGACTGGATGCTGCGCGCGTGGTCGGGGCACTGGTGTATGGCTACAGGTGTTTACTGTTAGCGGCTGCTGGCGCATTATAGCCCGAACACAATGAAAACGACGAGCTACAACCACAGCTGTCAAATTATTTTAACACGCACTCTTATGTAGATAATTATTTTGGCGACGACCGGGCTACGCGACGGCTGTGGTTGTGGCCAGATTAGATCTATTTCTATTTTTCTGGCGACAGATAAGGTTCTTCCTCTTCTTTTATGTCAAACTCATACAAATTCATGATGTCGCTGCCGCGTTCAAAGAAATCATGTTGCCATCGACAAAGCGCTTAGATAATAAAGATGACAAATTGGAAGCTGTGGCCGGTAGCTCGTCGTTTTCAATGTGTTCAGAACTTAACACTCTGCCCGGTCGTTTCCATGTCATAATAAATCCTCTTGAAGCAGGTAACATTGGCATCAGCGCGTTGTGGAACAGTGGCTGCGACTTTGTCGCGAGGGAGTCATAAAACAAATTTTCTGCTGTCAACAGTGTTGTTTATGCGCTTTGAATGCGGGGGCAGGAAGGTGGGGCGGTTCATAAGCTGCGACATGTAACTAAAATGGTTAAACGTTGCGCGGGCGAGTGAAAGACGACGGATCATCCCTTATTTATTGCCAAGGTGATGCAGATAGACGTGCAACTGAGCTTTTTTAAGAAATTATTTGTATTTAGAAATAAAAAAAAATAATTGTAGGAGAATTGGTGTAATAATACCGGGTATAAACGTAATGTGTGTACGTATGGAATAGTAGCTTATGTCTGGAAGCTGGCTTTAGTATAATGCGGCATTCCCTTGTTTCTTTAAACGGTAAGGAATTTTTTGATGAGACTTAATATGAATATTGACTTGCTAGTATCGGAACTATTTCTTGTACGTTTATTTGCCAAAAGTTCTTCAACGTAGGCTACGAATGCCGCATTATACTAAAGCCAGCCTTTCGACATAAGCTACTATTCCATACGAACACAGACATATACTTATTATTTGTATGTAAATTGAGCATCAAGGCATCTATTAATCAATGGTTGGGGGCTGGGCGGAAAAGTTGAAGAAGTCGACTTCTACCAGAGACCATGATACAAAAAAAGAAAGTAGTTCCATTTTGAAATTTGTTCGTAAATTGCTCAAGTAACACTGCCACCTCAACAAATTATTGTTTTGGAAATTTTAATATTTTTTTAAGTAATCTTTTATGCGCTGAAAAAAATAATAATAACTCGCAAGGTAAATTTGTGTACTTATTTCATCGTATTAGCAGAGCTGTTAATAAGTGTGTATTGATTTAAAATATATTAAATTACCTTACGGCAAAACAATTTAGCATTATTTGCAGTGCTACATGAAATATTATCTGTAGCTCGAGTTACTGGCTCTTTAAGAAATTTAGATATTAGGATGTTGCTTTAATTTCGATCTTTTTTAGTGGAAACATGCCTTTGCTAGGGCCGGCACCTTGCCGTTGGTGCGGGACTTAACCGAATCATGACCAGTTCTTATCAGCGGATGGCAGTGCAGTCGTTTCTTTATCTCTATATATCGGGCGAGTGCACTCCATTCCCCTGGTTCGGGCTGCTCGTGTACGGTGACCAAGAACTGCCGACCCCCGAATCCAGGGTGTTAAGTGACACCGTGCTCATTGGAGGGTTTGCAGCCAGGGGGTTTACCAGACCGGCTGTATTATAACGGTGCCTTTCTGATACCAGGCTGCCTCAGGCAGTAACGGTGGTCTTGCCGCGGCATGGGATGCTGCCGTGGTGGACCGTTAATTTCCCCTTACACTGCTTAGACCACTGCGCTCGCCTCGTCGGGAAGGGGGTCGTACGAACAAGATGAATACAACTACAATACAAAAAAATAAAGATAAAACAAGACAAATAAAACTTCGAGCAGCGAACGATCGTTGGAGCCGGCATCCAAAGTTGTCTCTACCCCGGTTGGGGTTCTGAGGAGGCGAAAGCATCTCCTGCTAAGACCACGAGTGGGGCCGGCACGGCCAGCGCCGTAGGGAAACTGGAGCTGGCTAGCGGCAATTTCCTATGCAGACGATGTTGCACTCCTAGTAAAAGGTTAATACCTGAACACGCTATATGAACTTACCCAACGGTGGCTTAACGTAGTTACTAACTGGGCGGGCAAAAGGGGCCTCGCCGTCAACGCCAGTAAGACAGAACTGGTCTTATTCACAAGAAAATATAAAATCCCCGCCGCTGTTCTTCCCTTGGTTGGACTTGGTTTTACCCATGATTCAATAATGAAAGGTTTTGTTAGAAAAACTTTCTCTCGCTCTAATTTTATCAATGGCACTCCCACCCTACTCCTAAAAACAAAAACAGTGATATTTATTTTCCAAATTTCTTTGCAAGTTTTAAGAACATTTTTAAATTGTTAATAGTGAAATTTTTACTTTTTAAATTTGAAGAAATGTTTGTTCTTCATTCGCTGGCTCCAACAAGACAAAATGGGTGAGAATCGTTGGACTACAGAAATTCAATGTAGGCTAGAGACGAAATTCCCTTAAATGCCGAAATGTGTTTGTCGATATTCGTGGAGACCTCTTGATTCTGCCAAGTCGCTGTTAAGTAAAGCGTGTAATGTTTTTGGTAAATGAGCCAACGAAGGTATTTAGGTATTGTCCTCCACAACACAATCCTGGTGTCTCCGAATGAGATTTTGACGCAATATAACATTGCCAAACCGCATCCATAGGCCCAATCGCCACACGACAGCTCGGTTTAGTCAATGGCGCGATGTAATTGCACACTTAAAAGGTGATATTTTTTATATTTTGATATTTTTAGTCATTCAAATTTTTTTTCGTGCAACCCGGCGTGAGTTGAACGCAAAAGTTGCCTGAAAAATAGCCTCGCGCGAAAGCATATTTTCCACAAACAAATAGCCTCTTCATATCCATCATCTGGCAAACAAATACAACAAAAAAAAAGCTGAAAGTGGACCATCCATTCTCGAGTTATGCGGCACGCAAGTTTGGTATATACATAGAAATATTTATTTTTAATAACAATCGGGGGTTATATTCGATGTAAATAAGCTTTTTTAAATTGAATAATTAAATCAAATTCGTTTTTGTTTTAAAATACCACTACTCACTATTATCCACACCATTTTTTGGAATTTAGCTCCCATTTTAGGAAGTGTGATTGATTTCTTCTCCTTTTTCTCCTGCTTCCATAAACCATTCCTGTGGGTGGGAGTGCCAAATTTTATAAAAAAGCTACTTACAAAACCTTTAATAATTGAATCATGGGTTTTACTCATGATATAACAAAAAGAAGGTAGTTTCACTTTTAAATTTTTTGACATAAACTGTGCTTACTGACGTTTATACTTTCCGTAAATTGTTGAAGCAGCACTTCCACCTAACCAAATAATTATTTGGGAGATTTAAAAATTTTTTTAAGGAATTTTTATTTCATTAAAAAGTAAGTTGTAAACACACGAGGTAAATATAACTTGTTCATGTACCCCGTTTTTTTTTAGTACTAGCCATATCCAAAATCTGTGAAAAACGCAGTTATTCATATCTTTAATAGAAATGTCTAAAAGTGCGGGAAACCTCGAAGTGAAGTGTTTTCCCTAACAAATACTAAAAATTATGGTATTAAGAAAACCAATTTGTAAATATGGTCGCAGCGTCCAAAAAAACTAAACCCAAAAACAGTAACTGTAAGTGTTTAAGCAAATTTAAATCCGAATGAAGGAGCTTGAATCAACGTCTGCATAACAGGGACATATACATAAATATGTAGTACGTACAAATTTACTCAATCTGAGTTGAAATGGTTACGTATCCTTTTTGACACATTTTCTCCGATATGCTTTCATTTTCGTGATGTCTAAACTAAAACGGTTAATCATACATTTTTTAAGCATATACCAAAAAAATACCCAATACAGTAATCCATATATTCGTCCAGGTATTCTACATCTTCCATATTTTGCGTTTGGTATCTGAAAATAATCGTCAATAATTAAAAAAAGACTACCATCAAAGGACAAGTTTTGAAATACATTACAAAATATATTCTTCGAAAAGTAAATAAAGTTAAAAGACAGCACCTCGAGAAAAAGGACTATCCTTTGAAATAAATCACGGATGGTCATTGTACTTATAACAGATAAAATACTCACTCTACTCCTACTGGTATCGCGATTTACTCTAATTGAGCGCATCCGTTCCTCCGGTTGAAATCTTTCGCGCAAAAGTGCTCGGAACAAACAAACGTTTCTTTTGATAACGCATTTTCAGTTACCATGCACGCGGATATCCACTTTTCCCGCATATATGGTACCGCCGGGAATCGAAAAAACTTGTATGTTGTTTTTTTCGCAGTTTACAACAAATGGGAGCAATGGCGGCTAAGAAGAAGAAATGAAACTTTAAAAAACCTTTAAATATTTGTATCATGTCAGAGACGTTCCATCAATCAAAAATTTATGCATATGTACCTACATGGGCAATTCTAGGAAACTTCGAATTTTTTTGTGAACATTTTTTTAATTTTTAATCGTCTGAAATTTTTAGTATACGTTCCTTCAGCTGCTAGATGCAAAATCCAACGTGGTGCAACGTTTTAAAGCAATGCACCATACGTTTTTAACGTTTTTACGCGTTTTTTTTTTTTGAAGTGCAAAGTGGGCGTAATTTTAGTCCGATTTCGAAAATATTCAACATATAGCCTTTCTATGCCAAGGTCAATAATTTCACTAAGTTTGGTACAAATTGATAAATCGGCTACCGAGATACACATACAGTGAACCAAATAAAAACTGGGACGCGATATTTTAATAAGTTTTTGGCTGTTTTTCTTTAGTTTTTTGAATATTTATAATTTTTTCTAAAAGTATAAAGTTTGACCGAAATTTCTAACTTCTTGGTCAGCGTCCTTTCGTTTTTTGGGCCATCAAATTGTAGTAAAGCAAAGTGCAAATTTTAAGTATCTTGCACTTACCGTTGATTTTTGGCTATTTTTTATTTATTTTTTTTTTGTTGGCGGTGCTATGCATTTTTTTCATAACAATTTTCGAACATAAATTACCAAAAATCAAGGGTAAGTCCTAGCATCTATAGGTCTTTCATTTGACACCTCATTTCCGAAAATCGAACGAACGGTGCAGATTTGATGACATGGACAACAAATGCCTTATATATTGTTTTTTTTTTTTGTAATTTTTCTTACTTTTGTTCGCTCTGTAACTTTTTAAAGAACAATTAAAAAAGTGGTCCACGAGGATCATAATTCAATAGTATATTGTACAATGGAGCACAAATGTATTTGGCTAAATTTTCCAATTGCAGACGATGTGCTGATAAAAAATATGCATTTACACTTTTGTGCACGCATCTTAACCTTTTAAAGAAGTTGGTTATTTTTTAACTATCCGATAACAATTTTAGGTACGCACCAGATACAGTCTACTATAAAAAAACCGCGAGTGTCAGAATTTAAAAAAAAGCAGTCACGCCACTTTGACTCTTCATAATTTCTTTTCTATTGCAAGCACATACTTCTAACGGGCTACATTCGATTCTCTTCTCTAAATACTACAAGTTAATTATAAACTCAAACCTGAACAATTAACGCACCAAATTTTGCAACGTAAAATTAAAAAAATAATAGGAGAGTCACACTTTTATTTGTGAAAATTTCCCTATTTTATTTGCATATTTGTCTAGAAAATATGTACGGTGGCTCTTTTTTTTCCTTTACATAATCTGCACAACTTATGTAACCGGATTTTTGTCAATAAACCACCGAAAATTATGTGTCCGAATAAAAACCGGCGAGTGCATTCAAATTTTGTTGTTTCGACAGAAATATAAGTTGCGTTCCTTATCTCCCAGAAATAGTCAGAAAAAGTCCGAAGTAGTCAGATTTAGTCAGAAGAATTTTTGCTAGCAAAATACTGAAAAGTGTCAAACTCGACTGAATTTAAATTAACGGAAATTAAAGAATTCGCAAAAAGTGAGAATAATCCAAAAAGTAAAAGAGGCAAAAAATAATTGATATAGTGTTTATTGTGCTTGTGCTTGTGTGTATGTGTTTTGTACATACATTTCTATTCTAATTTGACGTTAGTTTTGTTGTTGCCATTCCTTGGACTACAAATTTGGTTTTTTGCGTTCCTTTACTTTTTCTTGTTATTCTCTTTTAGTNCAAAAAGTAAAAGAGGCAAAAAATAATTGATATAGTGTTTATTGTGCTTGTGCTTGTGTGTATGTGTTTTGTACATACATTTCTATTCTAATTTGACGTTAGTTTTGTTGTTGCCATTCCTTGGACTACAAATTTGGTTTTTTGCGTTCCTTTACTTTTTCTTGTTATTCTCTTTTAGTGAGCGCATTTTGCTTACGCTCTGGCATTTTGACACTTTTCAGATTTTTGTCCAAAAAGATAAGTAATGAACCTATATTCTTTGGTTTGAGTGAAAATAAAAACCAACAAATGATAAAAACGTCAACATTTCTAAAGCTGGCTCTCACAATTGCACCTTATAAATAGGTGCAATCCCGTATTCCTCGGACCAAAACTGTCAAAAAATAAAAATTCGCTCAGAGCGAGAGAGTAAAATTGAAAAGTACGGGACCGCTTTCTAGTAAAAAATGGTATCTTCTGTCAACTTCAACATAACCTTCAAAATGTGGTTGTAAATTTTTGCTTATTTTGTATCGATGGCTGAGTGGAAGATCGACCTATCTCGGCAGCCAGTTCGAAAACGCTTTATCTCAAAAAACTTTTCAAGAACGCCCTATTTCAAAGTTCGTTTCAAAAACGCCCTATCACAGCTACCGATTCAAAAACGCCCTATATCAGCATATTTTCAATACATTTTGAAGTGAGATAGGGCGTTTTTGAACTGAACTTTGAGATAGGGTGTTTTTCAATTAAATTCTGAAATAGGGCGTTCTTGAAAAGTTTTTTGAGATAGAGCGTTTTCGAACTGGCTGCCGAGATAGGTCGATCTTCCACTCAGCCATCGGTATGTAAACACACTCAGCTCACACATGTAAATAACCAAAAATACTTTCAAATTCATTACAATCCAATTGAACAAGTAATTAAATACTTTTCAACCCGAATTAGCAGAGTAAACTTTTTATTTGTTTACAATTTGGTTGCCAAGAACACTACAGCTGATCGTTTGACACATTTACCAGAATTTACCAGCAAAAGATTCCCGGACTAAAACTGGTAACTTCTGACAGAGAGAGAACCGTATTTACTCTCTTTTTTGTCCTCTCAATAGTCAGAGAACCAAGTACGGGATCGATTTCGGGACTAGTCAGAAATAGTCAGAATCAGTCAGATTTTACTGGAAAGCGATCCCGTACTCGGTTCTCTGACTATTGAGAGGACAAAAAAGAGAGTAAATACGGTTCTCTCTCTGTTAGAAGTTAGCAGTTTTAGTCCGAGATTCTTTTGCTAGTAACTTCCGGTAAATAGGTCCATTCAATATAAAAAAATTGCTACGAAATGTTACTAGTACTTGCAAGTTTTTACTGGAAATGCCTTCAATAATCCAAAATATTTGCAAGAGAGACCGAATTCGAGAGCGTAACAACCCGAGAGAGCTGCAAATTCTTGCAAGTAAAAATTTTACTAGCAGGAATTTGCAGGAGTTAAAAAGTAAGGTTATGTTTCAAATTCAAATGTGGGTTCTAATGAATTTGAAAGTATTTTTAGTTATTTACATGTGTGAGCTGAGTATGTTTGCATACAAAATGAGCAAAAATTTACAACCAAAATTTGGAGGTTATATTGAAATTAACAGTAGTTACCATATTTTACTAGAAGGCGATCCCGTACTTTTCAATGTTACTATCTCGCTCTGAGCGAATTTTTATTTTTTTACAGTTTTACTAGCTTTAGTCCGAGGAATACGGCATTGCACCTAATTTTAGAACAGATTGTCAGATTTGAGCTGTTTTTTTTCCTTGTTCGCTCGAATTCGTTTTTCTTTCGAATAACATGAGCAACAATGAAACGAAAATTCAAAAGTCAATGGAAAGTCGTATTCAAACTTAATCTGAAGCTCTATAGCAGGTTTTACAGGCGTTGCGGCTTTCGAAGTCGTTCAGGCTTTTCAGGCGAGCGACTCCACAATAAACTTGAGGCGCTTTAATTCTAAGAAAACATGGATCTAAAATTTGGAGTTTACCAAATTGCGAAAATAGGTTTCTTAGCATTTTGATGTAAAGTCGTAAAGAAGTGCTTAAATTGAAAATAAAATGAGGGATCCCTTTCTGCACTTATCCTTTTCTTAAAAGTTTCACCAGAAAGTGCAACAGTGAAAATTTTCACTTTTTTTCCAAACCTATTTTCGCACGCTTTCTTTGGCAAATTTTATGTGCATTTTTAATTGAAAATTTTTATTTCCAACAGCTTGACCATTACGAGCTCCAGCAAAGTTTGGATTGGCGCCTGGTGGGTCGGCTTCGTTTTTGCTGCCGCTGCCTGCATTCTACTCTCCATACCGATATTTGGTTTTCCAACTTCACTGCCTGGCGCCGAACAACTGCAACAACAAAAGGTGTCTGAGGCCTACAATGCCGATAGCAATAAGACTGAACAATCGTTTACAAAATTAAAAGAACTGCCAAATGCTTTGATTACATTACTGAAGAACCCAACATTTTTCTGTCTCAACTTGGCTGGCGCCACCGAGGGATTGGTAATTGCCGGCTTTGCTGCTTTTCTACCTAAACAAATCGAGAATCAATTCAGTATCTCACCAGTTTGGTCGGCGCTCTTGATGGGTCTTATTACAGTGCCAGCCGGTGGTGGTGGTACATTTCTGGGTGGCTATCTTATAAAAAAATGGAACTTGTCCTGCTCACAAATTATAAAAATGTGTTTAATAATGACAACGATTTCGGCGTGTTTCACATCTTGCTTTTTACTGTCTTGCCCCAATCTGGGTTTCGCTGGCGTAACTACACAATATCGGGAAGCAATAAGGCTCAAGGTTGGCAAAGAAATGCAGCAAAATTTTACGGATAATGTTGAAAGATCGTATCTGGGTACAGAGCTGCAATCAACATGTAATATGGAATGTGGATGCAGCAAGATGAATTATGAACCGATTTGCGGCACGGATGGTATTCTCTACTATAGTCCATGCTTCGCGGGCTGCCAGAAGGAATACAATATGAATCAAGTTAAAACCTATTCGAATTGCTCCTGCATCGATAAGAAAAATGATGACAAAAGCAGCGCTAGTATGCGTCCAGATGCCACCAATAAGATGTGCGAGTCTACATGCGAGTATTTGCCATATTTTGTTAGCTTGTGTTTCGTGCTAATGCTGTTCACCTTTCTATCGACCATGCCAGCATTGTCGGCTACTTTGAGGTGAGTTAGCAAGAATATTTTAACTTGTTAATTCTTTATTTATATTTGAGTATTTATTTTTTTATTAACTTATTGAAACTTGATTTAATTTGCAGCCGGTTACATAGATACAAACATAGATTTTTAAATTAAAAATCTAATTTGAATTCAGATTTTGTTTCGCTTTTCCACAAGATCTTACTGCAGATCGGCAGTTGGGCTCCTAGATTAACAGCTTATGCTAAAATGTTTTTATTGAATATGGTTTGGTCAAAATAAATTTGGAAATATGGATCGTAAGTTATAAAGTGATAAAGATCTAGACCCAACTTAACTGTTTTATTGATATTTGCCACGCTCATTATTTTTAAGATTTTTTTTTTTTACAATTTTAAGTCAATTTTTGTCAGTTTAAGTATGAAATTAGGCTGTATGCAAAATTTAAGCCAAATTTTTAAATAAAATAGGTGGTAAAACTAAAAATCTAAACCCCCGTAGTAAAATCCTGGTATGATGGCTGGATGTACAAAAACAAAAGAATAAATGCGCCTAGGCCCCGCTTCTCAAGTGAAACTTCCCTTGATTCATTTCTTAATGGTTCAATAATCCTAAGAATTGAAAGTTCCGATGTACTGAACTTAACATAACATATGATAACATAACTCTGCGTTAAGTGATTTTAAGTAATAAAATGGACTAGGGAATTCTGAAAAAGAAATTCCGCAGTTCCATATAAAAATATCCAACTAACCCAAATCAAAAAGAAGGAAAGCACTCAAAAGTGGAAGAATGGTATTTTCTTTTTAATATTTACAATGATTTTCAACCATATCGAGTTCTTATATTCAATACCCACTATCTGGGACTTACCGGTCATCACTGATGTTAATTCTGACTTTGCAATTTAATAGTGGTTGCAATCCCGTACGAGTCCGGACTAATCATATATAGTCAGAATTCACAGCAAATTGATCCCCTACTCGGCTCTCTGACTATTGAGAGGACAAAAAAGAGCATAAATAAGGTCCTATCTCTGTTAGAAGGGACCAGTTTCAGTCCGAAGATTTTTTGCTGGTAAATTCTGGTAAATGTGTCAAGCGATCAGCTGTAGTTTATTTGACAGCCAAACTGTGAACAAAAGAAAAGTGCACTCTGCTAATGCGTGTTAAAAAGTATTTGATTTAACGTTTAACATGATTCTAATGAATTTGAAAGTATTTTTGGTTGTTTACATGTCTGAGCTGAGTTTACATACAAAATAAGCAAAAATTTACAACCAAAATTTTTTTACTAGTAAGCGATCCCGTACTTGTCAGTGTTACTCTCTCGTTCTGATCGAATTTTTATGTTTTTAACAGTTTTAGTAGTTTTAGACCGAGAAATACGGGATGAGACCTAGTAAATTCTCCTGTTAAGCGTTATACAAAAGGTGTGTACTCGTATTGAGAGAACAATATTATCCAGCAGAACAAATTCTGAGAATTTAGCAGCATTCGCTCTCAAAGAAACAAAATATCCACAGAGAACGCAAATTTTGCAAAAACTTGCAGCCTTCGAAACAGCTGATCACTTCCACAGTTGCCACTGGTGGGTAATTTGGCAATTTATTTTCTGCTTGGTACATTTTCCCCGATTTTGCATTTGATATGCATTTGTATACTTTTAGAATCGAAAATTTGTTTTAAAATACAAATTAATTATATCGGAATGAATGAAATATTTTTCTCAAAATTATTTGTGATACCACATCATGGCACATTCAAAAATAAGCGAATATCCTCCAAACACCCATCCTTGATCCAAAAAAAAATGAGTAGATATCTACAAATGTACTTTTAAAATTATAAAATTCTAATTTCAACAATCAACCTACCAAAACTGACAAATTCGGCCAACAAAATTTCAGCTTGCTGCATTTTTATCTATTTTGGTATATTTAAAGGACAATTATGGTACAAACAAAAAATGACATACGGCAACCATAGTCAGCACACACTGAAGTAAACAAACTGGAGATTAATAGTAAATTAACTAAAAATAAACTCAACAAACCGTGTGCTTAATAACTTTACTCTCTTTGCCATAAATAATTCAAAAAGGTCATATTTTCTTTTGCTTATTTACAAATATATGTTCGTGATCGGCTGATTTTCTTACTTGCAAGTTTTCGCTGGAAAAAATTTTTCCAGCAGAAATTTGCAGCTCTCTATCACATTTTGCTCTCTTAATTTCCCCTACTTTGCAAGTTTTTTGGGTACGAAAACGCAAAACCAGTAAAAGCTTTCTAAAACTTTAGATAGTTGGGCATACGAGTGTACTCCTAAAGTCAAGATTAATATTTGTGAAAAGTGCAGATAGAGGGTAAGCCTTCGATATAAATCACACTTTCAAAACTTATACATAATATAGAAAAATTACACAAATTTGTATATAAATTTCGAGCTTTTTAACCAGAATTTTTATAAAATGTTTGAGTATGCAGTTAACAGGCTTATAAAATTTTAGTAAAAAAGTGCAAGTTTTGAGCGGCGAAAAAAATCGCATTTGGTTTTAATAATTTATTTTTTTTTTTACTGACGGCTTTTGCGTTTTTTCAAACCCCAAAACCTGCGTTCGCCCCTGACTTGGAGCCAAAAACGGTTTTTGTAGAAGGTGGGCGTTATATTGATAAACTCCTCATTATCTCCCAAATTTTGGAGTATACGAGCAGAGTACACCAAATTTCATCAAAATAAAAATGTTTAACATTTTCGCCAATTTTTTTAGAGTAGGTGGACGAAAATATTAGCCAATTTTAACGTTCTTTCAGATTTATGGTTAAAACCAGTATATACCTACTCGGAATTTCATCACAATCAGATAACATTTACCATTTCCGCACACAAGATTTTCGGACGTGGTACATTTGCACATTTCTTTTTTCCAACTGCAGAATAGAGCATACAAAAATATTGCCCCACGAAAGTGCAAAATGTGTTTGATGTTACACTCAACTCCGTAAAACGAACACAAAATTTTCTAACCGTTTGCCTTTATTTTGGAATCGATCACGAAAAGAGAAAAGGGCAATCAAAAGGCAAGATTATTTGGTAGAAACGAAAACACCATTAAATCTAAAAGTGAAACTTAAAAATTAATTTTTAACATAAATGTGTTCTCGCGAAACTGGTTGTTAGTTTTTTTAATTTTATTTCATTCCATTTCGTTATTTTTCATTTCATTTTGTTTTACATATATGTAGGTTGCTTTTTCACAATAAAAATTTTAATTTAAAACGGCCTCGAGCTCGAGCAAAAAAATAACAAAAACAAATATGTAGGTACTTTATTTTATTACATATGGACAATTCTCACAAACTTCGATTTTTTTTGTGAAATATATTTTTTTATTTTAAATCGTGAGCACGTGACTGAAATTTTTAGTATACGTTCCTTCAGCTGCTAGACGACAAAATCCAACGTGGTGCAACGTTTTAAAGCAACGCACCATACGTTTTTAACGTTTTTTACGCGTTTTTTTTTTGGAAAAGCAAAGTGGGCGTTGTTTTAGTCCGATTTCGAACATTTTCAACATATAGCTTTTTTATGCCAAGGTCAATAATTGCACTGAGTTTGGTACAAATTGATAAATCGGTTACCGAGATACACACACAGTGAACCAAATGAAACTGGGACGCAAAATTTTAGTAAGTTTTTGGCTGTTTTTCTTTATTTAGTTAATTTTACGTTTATTTTTTTTATGAAGGTATAGCTGATTACTTAGCAATCACGATATAAATCTAAATTTCAGACTTCGTGCAAAAATTATGAAAATTCTGCAAAATTTTACCAAAACTTCTAACTTCTTGAGCAGCGTCTTTAGACAAAATTTTGGTATTAAGTTTTGCAGCCCATCAAATTTTAGTAAAGCAAAGTGCAAATTTTAAGTATCTTCTACTTACCGTTGATTTTTGGCATTTTTTTTTTTGTTGGCGATGTTCCGAATTTTTTTCATAATAATTTTCGAACATAAACTGCCAAAAATCGAAGGTAAGTCCTAGCATCTACAGCCCAACCTCTTTCATTTGACACCTCACTTTCGAAAATCGAACGAACAGTGAGATATGATGACAAAAAATTCCTTTGGGTATTACATATACACACATATAATTTTTCTTACTTGTTGTTCGCTGTGTAACTTTTTAAAGAACAATTAAAAAAGTGGTCCACGAGGATCATACTTCAATAGTATATTGTACAATGGAGCACAAATGTATTTGGCTAAATTTTCCAATTGCAGACGATGTGCTGATAAAAAATATGCATTTTCACTTTTGTGCACGCATCGTAACCTTTTAAAGAAGTTGGCTATTTTTTAACTATCTTCTAATGAGAACACATAAGGCCTCTACGTCTAGATTGCTTCCTTTTATGCTCCAGAACACAACAAAAGTTGTCCGATAACAGTTTTAGGTACGCACCAGATACAGTATACTGTAAAAACCGCGAGTGTCGGAATTTAAAAAAGGGAGTCACACCACTTTGACTCTTCATAATTTCTTTTCTATTGCAAGCGCATACTTCTACCGGGCTACATTCGATTCTCCTCTCCAAATACTACCGGTTAATTATAAACTCCAACATAAGCAATCAACGCAACAAATTTTGCAACGTAAAAATAGAAATAAAATAATAGCAGGAGAGTCACACTTTTATTATTAAATTTTTAAATTTTCTTTACATTAATTTCATTTTGTTTAATTTCATTAATTTTTTAGGTATTATTTTGTTTTTTTTTTAATTTTATTTACTTTATGCTTTAGTATACATATTTTATTTATTTTTACATATTATTTGTTATTTTATTCCATTTTATTTTTACACAATATTTTTTTATTACATTCCACCTATGCACAGATGTGTTCACGATGACCAGCGTTCTTTTGCTCTGGGTATCCAATGGATAAAGGTGCGTCTATTGGGCACTATACCCGCACCCATGATATTCGGCACCCTCATCGATGATTCGTGCATTCTTTGGCAGGAGACATGTGTTGTGGGCGGTGGTGCTTGTCTGGTCTATGATAATAATAATATGGCCAAGTAATTAAAAATGATCTTAAATTATTTATAACCTTGCATTATATTCATAAATAACGGTTTACAATCATTACAGGTACATGTGGCTATTGGCATTGGTCGGCAAAACGTTGTCTGTCTTGTTTTTCTTTGGCGCTTTTTGGTTTTACATCCCGCCTAAACAACAGCAGTCAACAATTAGCAGCGGAAATGTACAGACTGTAAATAACAGCACTGATAAGCAGACTTTGGCCACTGTAGCAAGCGACTGAATCTATGTTTGCCAATAAACATGCGTGTAAATGTGTATGGTACATACATGTGTAAGTATATATGTATGTAATACAATGCTGTGGTGATACATACACGCGTTGTTTAGAAGTAAGATCCAAAACAAAAATGAAGTAGCTCCTCTTCGGCCCACTTCGTGCACCAAAGAAGAATGAAATGTAAACAAAACTGATAGCTGTTCTTTAGCAAAAACAGGTGGTTATCACTTGGCCATATTTATGTATGTATGGATGTGTTAATATGTAAACAAAAGCTGCCAGCTGATTACAGGCAAGGCTAAAAAAAACACTTAAAAGTAATATTTAATTTTTCTAGGTTTTTTATAGTCGTAAGATATGAAATATGCCTACCGTATTCAGCATTAGTAGTTATTAATACGTGGATATAATTAGTGAGAAAATAAATTAATTTGTTTGATTAACAACGCTTTTTAGTAGTACCTATATGTATTTATTAAAAGCAATGTTTTATGTTTAGTAGCCTCTTAATGGGGCTATTGCTTAAACCATCGCGCATTTGTATTTGTTTTTCATAAAGGCGAATTAGGAATCCAGCGATTGCCTTTCGTAGATTTCACAAAAGTCGGACTATGGTGGATTTAGCAATAGCTCCGAATACACATACATAAATACATATGCAGTTGTTTTATCGGATACCACTTTGGAACAAGTTTTTGGGAATTCGAGGCCAAAATCTCCGATTTTAGTGAAGTAGGAATGTACTCTGACCTACATTTGGCTTTTTGCGTGGACGATGCGTGCCAAAGAAGATGGAATGTATAAGCATTTTTGGACATAATTAAGCGTTTAAAATATGATTGCGCTGGCTACGTAAGATGACGCTCCGGTGAAAACTTCAGCTTGGCACATTAGTGGACAACAACAACAACAACGGCCACTCGTGATAAAAAATTAGCGCAACTTCGCCAAGGGAAAGAAGTAATACTCTTAAGTTTTTTGGTCTCGGCCCTAACCGATAAGTGCCAAATAAGAATATGATAAAAAAAAATACTACGCCACTTGTCTACGTAAATACAACTATGCAACATACCAACAGTGTGAAAATGACGTTCTTAACACCAATACCGTCAAGAGTTTAGCAGGCAGTTACTCACATGACAAGAAAGATGTCTTACTTTGAGTGAAATTCAAGTGAGTATTTCTGTTCCACCTAAACAAAGCACGTATGTTGCTCAAGTCGGGAGGTTGGTTTCATTATAATGCACCTATATGTTTCATCATATAAACCACAATAATTTTTTAATGAGACTTGATGGGAATATTGACAGAGGCTTGCTGGCATCGGATTTATTTTTTTTCGCGTTTTTTAAACTCTTTGGGTATTTTTACGCTTTCTTCCGCTGTTGTTGTTGTTGTAGCGGCTACAACAACCCCGCCCAGATCGGTTGGTATCTCAGTCGTTGTCGTCAAGTTCCACTAACGGCAACCCTAGGAAGCGTGCAGCTTCTGTGGGATCTGTCCACAGGGACAAGGCCGTTAGNGTGCTCAGGGAATGCTTTCTTCCGCTTTAAGCCTTTGGATAAAGTACCTTTAAAATATATGCCTTCGATGATAGTGCTTGCCAATTTCACCAATCTAAGCAGAATTTAATCACCCTCATTGCGAGAGTCGTGTCGAATGCAAGTCGTTTTTCGATAGTCGAATCGTATAGAAAATCTCACGTCATTGCCTAAAAATTCCACTCGACTAGTGTATTAAAACGGAAAAACTTGGCAGCACTGTATAGTTTTCGACGATTTTCGTCGCTTACTTATTTCAGCACGACAGTCGACAATCATGCCTATTACGGTATCCGACGAATGCCATCCGCACGGATCTAATCAGATTCGCACTGTCATAACAAGCGAATGAGAAGGATTAGATTCATGAGAATGGGATCCCTCGGAAACAGACCTATTCCGGTCCGACAGATACCATTCGTACGAATCTAATCCTTCGCACTCGCTTATTCCGACAGTGCGAATCTGATTAGATCCGTGCGGATGACATCCGTTGGATACCGTAATAGGCATGAATGCCAATGTTATCGAGTCGTAGAGTTTAGCCTCATTTACGATTTACGCAATGAGGCTGAATAATTGTATTTGCTTATTTTAGAAAAAATAAATACATACATACATACATCCAAAGAAAAAATTTTATTTATTATTTGCCAGTGGCGCGAGGGCCAGTGGTATGTATATTTAAAAATGTTTTATTTGTACTTCAAGCATTAGAAATATGTAGTAATTATTATGTATCTTTAATTATTTATGTTAATAACCCGTGTATATTAATAGCCCCTGTATATTATTTAAATGGAAAATATAAAAGTAAAGGGTTCCCCATGTTTAAATTTATGATTGGATTGTTTACTATTTCCAAGGCCTCCTTTGTGTTTTTTTAATTGCTCTCTTATCGTATGCCAAAATAATAAAAATTAATAGGCAGAAAAAAGCTTAAGACGCCATCTTCAAAATTCGACTTTCCTTAAGTTGAGAGACCCAATTTATTAAGTATTAAAAACATAGAATTGCTTAACTAGAATTATTGCCATCTGTTTTAAAAAATGGTCTGTCTTGGTACTGGATAATAGTGTTTTTTATATTTTAATTATTTATATAAATAATCTATCCGATAAAAGTTGAAGAATTTTAACAGTTGATGAGTGTTTGTTGGTAGTTAATACAACACTGAATCCAATAACACTGGTCTACAAGGGTTTTGCGAATAAGACNTGTCAAAAATGGGCAGATATTTTTAATAGTTGTGTATAAGTAAAAAGTAATAACCAGAGCAAATCAACAATATGCAATATATATATATATATATATATAATTAAATTTTGACCCATTTAATAAATTTTCATATTTTTGGTTGTTTCTTTAACAAAATTTGTAGTGCATATTAAAAAAAAAATCTTTTAAATACCAAGTACATATCGTCACCTGAAGTGCAAAAATACGTCATGGTGGAATTATTGCGCCTTGAAAAGACGTAACAAGCATCGTCGCTGAAATACAAAATGTCCTAACTTCTAAAAAATTCAAAATTCAGTTTTTGATTGATATGAAGGATTTCATCGAATAACAACTGCCACATAAATAAAAATATTACTCACGACTTTTTCCATTTCAGTTACGATGTTGTTACATCTTTTTGCATTTCAGATCACGATATGTAGGTATATTTGTGTATACTTATCGCAATTGTAATATTAAATGGGTAGGATGTATTGTCGCCACCAATGCAAAATACCCTTAATGCAAAGTTTCATAGCAAAAGCAGTGAACTGATTAAATAAACATAAAAAATGCCCTCAGAATTATTCTAATAAAGCTTGTATTTGGAAGATGTCACCATGACTTTTAGCACGGAGGCATATTTGGAAAAAAAAATATAAAGGACTAAATATAAGAATTTATCTCGAAAAATGCCTATTACAGCCCTTCGCATTGGTATCGACATATACATCCATGCCTATGTATGCAGTCTAAGGCAAACTACTATTAAAGTGTATTCCCACGCATCTTCATAAACGCAAATCTTCATGCAAATTACTTGAGTAACGGCCCTGCCCGTTATATTGCAAATTTAGCTCATATCTTGCAATACGTTCATTTTTTTCCATTTCTAATATTCGCAGCTTTTCATTACTTTCTATTTCCATTCTTTTTAATTCAATCTCTTGCTTTTTTAGCTCTTGTTCTGCTTGAAATTTCTCCTTGATAAAGGCAAATTCCTGTGCAAACTTGTACTCTTCAAATTTAAGCCGCAAGCGTTGTGTTTCATTACGACCTTCTTGACTTTGACTCAGAGCGGAAAGAGATTGTCTGAGAGATTCCTTTTTTAATTTCTTTGCAATTGCTGCATCTGCATCGAGATCTGGTGCAGTTTGAACAGTTTCTGTGGACCCCGGTTCGTTTATTGAAATCTCCGGAACTAAAATGGAATGCGGTGTTGAAATTTGTGTGCTTTCACTTTGTTCGAGATCTTCGAAATGTGAATTCTTAGTACTATTTGCGCGTTCTATAAATCCTTCAGGGCAAAAATTGGACATTTCATTATAATCTTCAAAAACTTTTATGTCCTCTGTGAATTGGGTGTTCTCGTCGTATTCATCATAACAGTCTGCAAATGAGCTATTAGAATCCAGTATCTCGATAATTTCTGCTCTTTTCTCGCCAAATATCTTTTGTAAACGGTAATAATTTGGACACATTTTTGTCAACTTAGCTGAAAACGCAACAAGAGCAATATGTATGAGTTTGCATTGCAAATGTTGACAAAGGCCACTTATTTTATTATTACCATCAAATTCGTCGTTATCCAATATACTGGCTTCTGTGGAGTTTATCCATTGCTCCGTTTTAGTGTAAATTGTTCGCAAATAGCGGACCTTCCATTTGATTAAGTCCCATGATGCATCTATTGGCGAAATTTTGAGGAATGTTTCATAGTAAGCTCGTGCGGTTGGTTTCTGAAAAATTTCGCAATCTGCCATTACACATTCCCGGCTAACAAAGAAATTGCGCAAATACGTACTTCTATATTTCCATTTTCTATCATATAGTCGATTATTTTACTTATTTCATCCTGGGTCCATTTTTTTACCTTTCTCAGTGGCAATCTTCTATTCATGCTTTCGACAAAAATTAAAATGTAAAATTATTAAATGCACAAATCGCGAAACAGCGCGCTAGCAAATACAAAATAACAAAGGGGCTCACAATACTGCCACAATTTTCAAATGAGTGTCAAATGATTTGACAGATAGTTTCGCACCATGCTTTTGCTCAATCTTTTTATAACCATTTTATACAGATGGCAGCACATATCCCCAAACGACTGTTTTGCACTGAAGCAACACATGAACCAAAAATACAAGAACACGTAAGAACGCGATGTTGTATTTGTAACTGGTTTTGAGAAAAAAGTTTGCGAAAGCGGGTTCGTCAGCTGGGAGTTTGTTTACATCACAAGCACCACTATTTTACACTTTTATTCAAGTAAAGAAGAGTTAATTCAACATGACACCACATTTTAAAGCATTTTGTTGCATCATTTTACCTAAATTGTGCGTTTAAAGTGGCTGACAATAATTTTGGCTAATTTTGGTTTCCGTTGTTTTCTTTGCTTTGTTTACTTTTCGCTCGTTTTCCAGTGAAACAAGATGGCGTAGAACCCGCTCAAAAAATCGACTTTTTTCACTCTCTTGTTCTTACGTGATCTTGTATTTTTGGTTCATGTGTTTTGCACTGAAGCAACATGAAAGCAGGGCATGGCCAGCGTTGCCATAAGTCCAGATTTATCTTGAAAATTAAGATTTTTTGGGCTGTTTTTTATGAAAAGTCTTCAAAACGACGATTTTTTAAAAAGCAAAATTTTGCAATGAAAATATCTTCAAAATGAAGATTTTTGTGTATGATGTACTATTTTTAATGTTTAAGTTAAAGTTGTTAACTTATTTATACTATCCTTGCTACAGCATTAACTTTGTTTCTTAACAGATAATTATCACTAATTATCACAAATTTCTTCTGGAAAGCGTTTCTTGACCCATAAAAGGTGCGTTCGTTTAAAATCTCCAGTAAAAACCAACCAACTGCCAAATTCCTGCGGAATGTCATCTGTTCTCTCACAAGAGAGAAATATCCAAAACAGTACGCGAACATAAATTTGCAGAAACTTGCAAGTTAGACGAACAGCTGATATAATTTTTGTTTACATTCAAAAGTGTAAAATTTAAAACATACGAAAAGTCATCACGAAGTGTTATAGTGACACAGTTTATTGATTAAACAAATAACTACTTATTTCTTACAAGTTTAATTAGTCGCATTTTGTAATTTTTAACTTCCAAACCATCAAATTCAATTTTGTGATTTGCGTAAATGCCAACCAGCTGTTTTTGATCAGCTGTTTTCCTGTTGGCAAATTGCTGTTGGCAAAAATTTTTCCAGCAGAAACCAGCAGCTCCCCTCTGAATGAAATGTCACTTTGCTCTCTCAATTTCCCCTACTTTGCAAGTTTTTTGCGTACCCGAACGCAAAAACTTGTAAGTTTTGGTTAAACATGAACAAGTAACAGCTACGCGAACGCAACTAAAACTAGCAGAAGCTAGCAGCTCTCTCTCGTTCTTATGCAGCGTTTTTGCTGCATTTAAAATGCAACATTTAGCACTTTCGAACATATGTTTTCGAAGAGCGTTCATGCTACCGCATTTAGCAAATGTACATTTTTGCGAGTTCGAAATCGTATGCTTTTGACAAACAGCCCTGTTCCAGTCGCTTATTCAGATCCGTATCCATTACGATAAGTTCTCATGGAAAAGATAATGTGCAAAAACCCCTACTGAAAAGGAAAAATAAATTCTAAACCGAAAATTCAATACAAAAACCTGAATTGTTTTAACCATAACCGAACATTTGTTTGTGTATATATTCATTTGTCGGTGCTGCCAATTATATTTTCCACACCTAATTAGGAAACAAAACAAACAGAGTTGATCACAAATTAATCCAGATTTCTATCAGCATCATATCGATGTTGAATTTGCGTAACTTTTCTTTATCCAAATAATGTAAAATAATAAATGAAATCTCGATCGGCGATCACTGAAACGCAGCTAGCGGTTGTATACTCGAAAAAGCAATGTTGCCACTTTTTCTCATTAAACCATGTTCGAATCGTGGAAATTTTGGAAGATCACAGGGATGCTTTTAGCATTTAGATTCTAAATGCAAAGATTGAGTTGCATTTAGTTGCATTTAGATGACGAATTTTGTATGGATAAATGTACATTTAGAGTAGCATTTAGAGCTAAATGCGCTAAATGTACATTTACGCGTAACCAAAAACAGCCCATTACGCTCTTCTTTTTTTGGCTGTCAAAATGGATGGCTGCCAAAATGGATAAACAAAAATTCGCGCCAAATATTTTCACTAGTCAAATACACCGATCAGCTGATTACTTGCTAGTGTCTGCTGGTTTTGCGTTTCTTTACTTTTTCGTTATTTCGTTTTCAGTGAGCGTAATTCTTTCAATTTTCTCACTCTTCTTCTTCCTGATAGTTATCTGCTAGAAAAGAAAAGAAACAAAGCCATTGTAAGAAGCAAATTAAGGAAGAAGAAAAATGAAATACGAAACCCTCTAGTTTAAATGACAACAATGGAAAATTTCAAGTAAACTGTCATTTAAGAAACATTTGCTGATGGGTCTACATGGATAAATGTATGTGGAGTTCCAGATAATAAATAAATACGGAACGCACAATATTTCAGTAAAACTAATCCTCGTTTATTAGTAATTAATATTATATCAAATGTGGTTACCAAGAATATTGCAAATAGCGAGTTGATCTAAAAGAAGGACCGGCCAAGAAGAAAGATTTTAGTTCCTTTATCTGTGAAACTAACTTCCGCAGGGTTGCATTCTAGATCTAGTTAGGAGGTTGCCACATGTATAACGAGAAAAAAAGGGGCTTTGAGATTTATAAAACAACGTCAATGTAAAAATATCATTAAAAAATCGAATTAAAAAGCTCAAAATTGTTATGGAATTTCGTTGATTTTTTTTGTATATTGCTTATTTACATTTCTTTGACTTTGCGTGGTTTCTCTAATCGTTCTCGAATCGAATCCTAATGTAGTTATTTAACTTCGTCATCGACTCGAAAACGATTAGAGAATTACCACCGAGCTTTTTCGCATGTTTTTGGTTATTGCAAACGTATTTTAGACATTGCGTTCGCTTTCCTTTACATGCACACGTTGCTAAAAGATCACACTTCTGTTTAAAAGTACTTTTATTAATTAATATTAACTAATTTTATAAAAAAAATTAGGTTGAAATATGTTCAGTCTAACAGATATCCAAACTTCCCAAATATGGCGAAGATATGTGTCTTTCCATCTTTCGCTTTGTATATCAACTGTATGAATTGATAAAACTTTGATTGCGTTTTCTCACAAACTCGAAATTTTGAAATGCTTCGTTATATTATTTACGTTCCAGAAGCAGTACGAATAGCAGGAATTTACAGGATTTTGCAGGAAGTTGTTCCCGCACGACACTTTACATAAGGTTTATTAAGGACGAAAACAGCTGTTCCTGTAAATCCTGCTATTCGTACTGCTGCTCTTACGCAATTATTATTAAACGTGCGATATATGGTCGCTTTTGTTTCGCTTATTACGTTGTAATGGGTTGGGCGAAATTATTATTTATGACAGGTGCTCGTATTAAGTAAACAAATATTAACTTAATTTTTTCATTAACAAATCGCTCATATTTATATTTTTTTACATTTAACGAAACTGCTTATGTAAATTATTCTCGACAAAAATGCATTTACATTTTTTAAAGTGGTAAGTGGTCTTCTCATTCCAGCTGATAAGAGTTTTGTCTTTCTTTTTGTTTCCGGTGACAAGAGCGTGAAGGTGTTGTTGATGTTCAATTGCATGCGGTATAAACCTTCGGTAAAAGTTTACCATTGCCAAAAACCGCTTGAGCTCGAATGCGAACTTTGGCAAGGGAAATGTNACCATTTACTGGAATATTCCCTGCGAATTCTGGCTGGTAAAAATTATTCCAGCTATAATTTGCAACTTCAGCACAAAAAGAACAAGAAGCAGAGATGCAAAGTGAATCACGAATGTGGCGTGTTAACAGGCTGATTCGCCGTTCGTATTTGAAAGAGCGAACTACTTGATTCGGTTGTCATGGAAACGTCGTTTAACTCGTATCTTGGCCCCTAATACCATGTTCTGACCGACAACGAAAACACTTTGAAAACATGTTTTGGGATTGTGGGCTGAAGGCTGTTCACACCGGCTGTTAGTATTTTCGTTGACATTTCTTACATCCTCTGATTACAGTTTTGCTACACAAAAACAAAACCAAAATGCTTTTCCCTCATTTTATTTTCATTAGAAACCTCTTACTTTCATTCTTATTTTACTTTTGCCGGCCAATTAACAATAAATCCGAAATGGCGTATTAAAGATGATAAAATATGACTTCCACTTCGATAAATAATCGAAAAAAACTAGTGCAGACACCGATTGGAATGAGTGGAACGTGAGTTTTCAAGTGGTTTTCAGCGAAAACTAGTTTTCGTTTGACAGATTTTACATGGACGAAAACACAAGTTTTAGGTCGAAAACCAGTTTTACCAACGAAAACATGTTTTCGTTGTCGGTCAGAACATGGTATAATACCATGAACCAATTAGAATAGATCTGACCGGTTGAGAAGCAGCCATTTGTAATAGCAATTGACTAAGTGTGTGACGTTCGTAATTTTGAAGTTTACTATTTCTGTTTTGCTTCTTTCTTTATGTGTATTTTGTCGGTGGTTTATTTCAGTGATTTTTAAGTTATTTTTTGTGCAAATGTAATTAAAATGAAGTGCGCAGTGATTGGTTGCAAAAACACGTACAAAAATAATTAAGTGGTTAGCATAAACATGTACTACAAAATTGCTTGCATTTTTTCTTTATGCTTTTTTTTCATATTCTTTGTTTACTTTTCACAGAAAATAACATGGCGCCGAAATTACAAACGTCATCCAGAAAATTACTTTTTTCTTCTGGTCCATCTTGTCAGATCTTGTGTAGTTGGATCATGAGGTTAACATATTGTTACGATTATCCTTGAAACCTCGTCCGAATTTCCCAAATATACTCGGGCTCGTATCGTTGGATTGTTAAATAAATGCTCACGATGACCAAATGGTAGTACAATTAACTTTATGGTACAACAAACAATTTACAATACTCGCTAATACAGTAAAAACACTTTACAATACTTGTTAAAGCAATAACAACGC